ACTTTAAGCTGCTCGTAATACAACTCATTAAATTTAGAAAATACGACGACTACTCGAGGCGAAAGTTTCTGAGGCGGGGAAAAGAGAAAAGTTTCGGTGTGGGCCCATCCGTTGACATCTACATTTACACCATAAACTTGGCCAAGATGGAGGAGGGCCAAGATTCTGGCCAGCGCCAGCGGCGCGATGCCTAACCCGGAAATTTAAGTTCTCCCTTTGCAGTTTAATTGCAACGGATGTCGGCGTGTAAATTATTTTGTCTGCTCCCAGCAGCCGCAACGCTGGCCTCATTTTCTGTGCTAATGAGCAACTTATTAAAAGTTTTGCTCAGTTCTACCTCAGACCTCCGACCTCGGCACCAGCCACTCCTTACTATCAATCCCAGTTGCTCCCTCCGTCTGGACCAGGGACACAAAAGGATGCGGATGGTGAAGCGCGTGAGGCGAATAATGAAATACAAACAGAAAATAACTGATACAATTGGCACTGGCAATTGAAAACAAAGCCGTTGCTGGAGCTGGAGTCGGAGATGGAGCCGCAGTCGAAGCCGAAGCCGAGAGATAAGTTTTACAATCAGCCAGAAACTCATTTACGCTTTCGAAAAGCGCGGAAAATGAATCGAAGGAAAACTTCAATTTTACCCCAGCAGGAATGCCTTTCCCGTGCACGTAAGAATGGCGTGCAAAGAACCCGAGGGGAAGTTGCCTCAAAGCATGCCTTTCAGCGAATGAAACAAAGGTTTTTGCTTGGCGAAAAGGAAACGAAATCTCTAATTTATATCGTCCAGATATACATATATATACTGGTTTGTGTTAATAATTTAAACCTTGTTTTTGCGATTATTTATTCTTTAAATATATAAAAAATTACACTGAATTCGGTACCTAAAAAAGGTGAAAGCTTAATTTGAGACACCTTTTGATACCCGTAGTAACTTCTGAAGCACCCCAAATAATATGAGAATATATTATTAAGCTTTATAAATGGTTTCCCATAAACTTTCAAAGCAATAAAATATTATAAATCATTCCTAAAATATTTCCCTTAATAGATTTCAAATATCTCCAATCCGAGAATTGACACTATTCGAACTTCAAGATGATCTGCAAGTTGCCAGAACGTCTGTAATCTTACGAATAGCTTCCTTTCATCATCCTTTTTCCTAAGGCCCCCCTCACCCAGCTCAACAGGGGCTCGGGGTGATGCCGTAAGTTTCTCGGCGGTGGAGATGAGTTCATAAGAAGGGGGTTCTTGCCGGCGGCCTTTGAGTGGAGTTGCGTGCGTGGATGGATGGATGGATGGATGGTCTGGTCTGGGTGAGAGTGGGAGAGTGCTCCTCAAGTGCTTAGACAATCGTGTTGAAGCTTTGATTTTCGAGCTTATGCTGGATTTGGGGGCGCAAGATTGTGCCGAGCTCGAGTCCGGGCTCCTTGGCATCTCTGCAGTGCGCTTATGAGGGCGGGTAATTAAGTTGAAGTGCCCAGAGATATATATATACGCCCACAAACACAAAGACAATTTGCCTAAGTAATGCCTGAGTCGATGACAGACTGACAGAGGGACAGAGGGACTGAAGGACCAACTGACTGACTGACTGGTAAAAGTGTTGAAATGTCTGCGGCAGCACTTAATTAATTAATGTCGAGCGAGGCGAACGGGCTAGCGAAATGAGAAAAGTTTCTGTGCCCCTGCTCCGTGAACTCCTGGGTGCCAGGATGCCTGAATGCCTGGATTCCTGAATTCCTCCTGCTACTTCTGTGGCTCTTTGGGGCAAACTTGGCAGCTATTTGTTAAGCTGCAGCCGTTCAATATTTGTCACTGAACTCATTAAGCAAATTAATAGACAAAGTTGCCAATTGCTGACAATAGGGGTTTGCCCTCAGCGCGTTCGTTCGGTCGGATATTTGCCATTTTATTTACCGAGAAGAAGCCAAGTTAGAAAAGGCGAAAGGCGAGACCCGAGACTGGAGACTCGAGACTCGAGACTTGTGGTGGCAATAAAATGGCACGCAATAAAAAACCCAAAGTCAACAAACAATTCCACGGAAGATCCTGCCCAAGGCATTGGTACTGGCAGTCGCAGAAATCGATTATGGACGCCTCAAGCTGGAGAGTTGGGAGGGAGAGAGCCCTGGCGACCCAGTCTTGGCCACGTTTTCGATTTCGCCATTCGGCATTCGCCACCTGATGCCCGTTGCCACTGCCCTGCAACATCACCGCTTCCCCTCCTTGCTGGCATCACATTTATCTCCCACCCTTGGCTGCGAAATTGCCAACGTTGCAGCTCAAAAGCGGAAGTGATTTTCCAGCGTGTACGTGTCTCTCCCCCAGGAGTGTGTGTGTGCGTGAGCTGAAACTGTTACTCTGGGGAAAACTGTTACTCTGAAAGGAATATATTTATATATATTTAGAGTATATGATATAGAGGGTTTCCTTCTAAACTTTAAGTCTTTCTATATCAACATTAATTTTTACAAATCTTTTTACACATTTTCCTAAAATTCTGTTAAATGAAATATTTCCCCTGTGTTACTTTTAAACACTTTTCTATGGCAGTGATCACTTTACCAAAACCAGTGACTTCTCGGCCAACTCCAGTGAGTCCTCAGCCTGAATAAACCCCCCACACAACCAATATGTGTGTGTACTCCTCGAAAAAGGGAGAGGACGCGGATGGCAGTGAAGGATTTTATGACCCTTGATAGTGGCAAGCGATTTGTTGCGTGCATTGCTGGCTGCCGTTGCATTTTCAATTTTGCAGAGCGCACTTTTGGCATCTTTCTTTGAATAATGCAATCGGCAATCGGGGTCGGAAGCGCCGCATTTTGCCCAATGCAGCCAGTAACTACCTGTCTTCGCCAAAGCTTATTTTGGCAGCTTATTAGAGAGATGACTTTTTGTGAATTTCCAATGGAGTCTGTAGTATTTTCTCTCTCTCTATTTAGGTTTTGTCCCGCATTTATAATTTCCAAACACGAGCTTGCCATTTTAGGGGAAGCCAATCGCGTCATGTGGGGCAAAGTGACAAATATGCAGCACGTGCTGTGGTGGCTCTGACTGAACGAAAAGGGCAGTTTTGTGGAGCAGAGACCTCAGATTGATGATAGACAGCAGTTGGGGGTTATTCCAAAGAAAATTAGATTTTTGTTGTAACCAGTAGCCAAGGGGGAAAATGTACTCCAGTAATTAGACAAAGTAAGAGAAATATGTAAGCTTTTAATATTGTTATTTAAAGCCCCTATAAATCATGAATTAAATGGCTTAATGTACATTATTATTAACTGATCACCTTTTTACCCACGCAATCCCAATACAATTGACCCATATAAAGGTTTAATGCCGTTTCAAGACCATCAGGTATTTATCCAGAGCACTTTCACGCCATATAGACCATATATAAAGCCTGGCGAAAATCGTTCAATCCTCATTAATTCCAAAGGGGATTGCCATTGCCAGCTTAATGTGCCGTGCCCGGTACCGGCCTTTTCACTTCCATTCCAAACACTTCAACGCATCGACCATACTCATTGTTTTTCGGTCAGTTTCCGAGTTGAGCGTAAATATAAAACGTAAATGGATGCATTTTTAAGCGCTTTCTGCTTCGGCTTCTGCTATGCATTAATTTTAAACAATTTACCTGGGGGGCGCATATGCGAAATTTTTATTTTAAAGTCAGGCAGAGAACAAAAGCGAAACTGGTAACTGGGAAACAAGGAGCCAGCGAGCCAGTGAGCCGGCGAGCCAGCGAGTCGGGAACCCCGGGGCGAGCTTCCCTGTGGCTGCAGCTGCAGCCACTTCAATTTCAAAAGCATCAGCTCCTGGTCCCGGGCTATGCTCCTGCGGTGGCCATTGGCCGCTAGCCACTCCACCTCGCCTCCTTTAGATTGGCTTTTCCTTTGCTCTGTGTGTGTGTTTGTGTGCCATGCTGCCTCATTTCAATTTTGTTGAAGTTTTCTTTGGAGTTTCCCGGCCGAGAGTGCCAGCGATTTTCCCCTTAGTGCCTGCCTGCCTGCCTTTAAGCCAAGTTCAATGTTTGATTAGCCCGGCGCCCTCTTTTTTCGCCTTTCCTGTTTGCTGGCCGCTTATTAAGCATACGCCTCGTTGTGCGCAAATATTTGAAATGTCTGGCATTTAGCGACTGTGAAATGTATTAATTATAGAGGAACGGCGTGCGTTGACCGCAAAAGCCGCACACAAAATCGGTAAATGAAATTGAAGCCAAAGCGGACGGCAAGGCTTCGCCTGGCATTTTGGCAATGATAAACTAACTAACGAATTTCATTTATGGCTGATGTTGGTGTTGGCCAACTGCAGCAGTAGCAGCAGCAGCAGCAGTTGCGGTTGCAGTGGCAGTTTCAAAAATGTCAGAAAATAATAAAAACGATAAAGCAGAGAACCAACGAAATTAACAGGCGAGATTGTTTAAAAGCAAAAAATGTTATACCCAGGAGTGACACAGAAATCTCTGGATATTTGAAATTACCAAAAGAGAGGTCGAAAAGTATGCAATGGTGTTTTTAATATTACATTTTATTTAAAATTCCATGTAAAATTCATATTTAAAATATGTAATGATGTCTGAAATTAATTTAATTTATAGTTATCGGTAGCCAGACCTTACTGTTGCCGCTTTAAAAATGCCAAAAGCAATTTCATGTTAATTGAATGTCAATTTAATTTGACCAAATTAAGCGTGTTTAACAATAATTGCCCACTTAATGATAAACACTGACTGCTACTGACTGGGGGACACTGGACTTGATTAAGGTGCACAGCCATGGAAATATCGAATCGGATGAGGACAAATCCTGGCTAAACAATCTGCACGATTTTAATTACGGTTTTCAATTAAAGCGCGACACAGAAAAGCAATTTGCGATTGGCTCCGATTCCCTGAAAATCTCCATATTCAATAGCCAATGGCCAATGGCCAATGGCCAATCGTCAGTGAGTCAGCCCCCTTGCTCATCCTCTCCATTTTTGCCATCTTACCTTTTCAGATATTGCTGTATCCGGAGGAGGGTTGGGCGCGAACCGCCTCATCCAGTTACTGGACCATCACGCCCTGCTGGTGGCAACCGAATCGCTGTCGCATCGTCGAGTGCTCCGGCACCCAGCGGCGTGCAACGAAGGCCAGGATGCTGCCGCTGGAGCAACAGGGCTCGCTACTGATTGCCGGACACTTTCGCCGGACGACGCCGGCACCGGGTGCTGGAGCAGGAGCCCCGGGGGCGACGGGAGTGGGTTCTGGGAGCCTAGCTGCACCTACACCCACGCCGGCGACACCTGCAACAACGGCCGCAGCCGCAGCTGCTGCAATCCGGACGCGAGCAATGGGCAGTGGTTGTGACAAGTCATTGGCGGCCGCGTGGAACGACGAGTTCAAGCTGTATCTGACATCAAACATCTCGATGGAGGACTACAACATGGGCTACTGTCTCACCGGGTTCGTGGAGCGTCGCTGCCAGGTGACAAACACCTTTCAGATGACCCACTTTGCCGTCATCAAGCGGCAGTGGCCACCGTCGCCGTCCAATCTGAGCAACTCGTAAGGCTCTCCCTACCCTCACACCCCAAACTTTTGTATATGTGATCCGATCTATTGTTTCAAATTGGAAACAAAAACAAAAAATATTTGTAATTAAGGGTCTTTTTCGGTTTTTACTTTTGAGGGAATTTATCAACATTTAATTTATTGTCAAGAAAAAACTTTTAAAATTATTTCTGAAAGCAACAAACTTCTCAAAGGTTTTGAAATCATTTTAATAAATTTAAATTTTAATAGTTAATACCTGAAACACTTTTCAGTTGAATAAAATAGTTTATCTTGAATCTTATTTTAAAGTAAATTTCAATGAAAAAAAAATCCCTTGAAAGTAATAACTGATAAAGACCCAATAGATACTATTTAAGTTCTTAGATTCTAAGTAGAGCGAAATTTTTGTTGTGCAATCTTGAACTAAAATCAAAAGAATTTTGGAAAGTCTATAAGAAGATGTACCATAACACTGCTAGATCTTAAATGTTAACATCTTATTGACACAAAAGGTCTTTAGCCGACAGTTTACAAACAAATTCTGTGCATGTTTAGTGCGTAAATTGTAAGTTTAACTAAAAGTTAAAGAGAAATTCGAAAAAAAAAAGAAATTAAAAAAGAAAACAAGAACTAGGAAACCAAAACAAAAACTTTACGTGTGCTTTCAGTGTTGTGTAATATGAAAAACGGAAACGAATAAAAGAAAAACAAAGTACTAGTAACTGTTAAATGCTAAATGCAGCTAAACCGCTTTTCCAACTCGAACATACACACACACACACTCACATACCGAGGCACTCACACACTCGCACACTTAAGCTCGGGCGGCTACTTAATGCTTCAAAAAAGTGCAACAAATTGAAACTTGTGCTTGTCGAAGCATGTGATTGTGAGTGCTCCGCTATAAGCGGCTATACTACTACATTCCCATGAGAGAGTGTGTGTGTGTGTGCGAGCTGGTGCTCTCTTCTACTACATACAAATATGTACTTTAACGGCCATGTTTGCGAAACCTATTGCCTTTAAGCTTTAAAATATAAGCACAACTCAGCGCAGGCAAGCACAAGTCAACAGCTTCGAGCGCTGGCCATTGCCACTAAACGTTCTTCAAGTTGTGAAGTGAGAAACAGTTTGAGAACAATTTAAAATTTAAATCAATTATTCAACAAGCTGTTTAGCAACAACAATACTTGTTAGTTTTCAACTAGAGACTTATTTAAAGAGCAGTTTTAATAGTTTCCGCTAGTTTTCCCTTTTCCGTTTAAGGATCTGCAGGTAGCAGGGTCACACCAAGCCTTGAATATGTTTCAGATATGAGCTTGGTCACACTTCTTTAGCCTTTTTAATGTATAATTTCGGTTTCTTTTGTTTATTTTGTAACAAAAAAAACCCGAAAACCGTTTAGTGGCAGCGACCATAAAGCTATCTTGTCCAAATCTGAGATTGCCTCGCCAACTCTAATGCTAATCTAGGGAACTAAGCCACTTAAGCCCTCTATCTCTCTCACACTAACTCACCCACTGACCCCCCCCCCACTGACCCCACTCACTCATGCTACGGCTCTGTCCCTCTCATTCACTCTCTTTGAGCATGATACGCAACGTATATCAACAATTCGTCCAATAATTGGAGTCTTTCGGCGCCACAAATTGCCAAGTGTCGATGTTGGCAAGGCCGAAGCTCCAATTGCCAAAAACCCTAAGTGTTAAAAAAGAATGAAGCCAAAACGTAAGGAAAACCAAAGCTACATAAGTCGAAACTCAACGTAGGATAAGTGATAGTTTGAAAATCAATATTTACAAGCTAGAATATGAATCTATATATATATATATGAAAATCTATATATTTGTGTGTAGGCTGAACATTTTTGCGTATATATGCTATATATATATCGGTGTATTTATATAAATGTATTGCGAATACACGTATACAATAACATTTTTGCTGTAGTTCGCATAGCTCGCTTTTAGGCGCTTTTACACGCAAGCGAATAAGGCAGACATCCTCTTGAATCCTTTTTTTTTGCTTCAGACCGATCCCCCCTGCCACTTTACTCCTAAACTAATTGATATTTAAGTATCAGGTACCTGCCAGAATCAACAACAACAACCAGAAAAACCAAATAAACAAGTTTAAATAAAAATATAAATAAATATTTATTGAGCCATTATGTCTGTGCAAATATTTGTGTCCATTTTGATTAGAATACGAGCAAATAAAAACCATTACAAAGCGTCATTATTTTTATTTTAGATAAACACAGAACAATCCGAATATTCAACACACACTTGATGTCGTCTCCCTGAATTGTATAAATGTTTAAAATTAGTGTGAGATTCCCCCTCTCTAACTCTCTCTGTGTGTGTAGCAAATTTTTCTGCGCCTCTGCTTAAAATAAACAAACAACAGACACGAGTTCAGCTTCAAGCCGAATGTACAACACTTTAAAACAAATTGAACAAAAGTCACGCAATGAGCTTTTTTGTAGTCAAAATCAATGAAATTTCTATAAAAACAAAAATTAAAAAACCTTTTAAAATAGCAAAAATGAAAAAACCAGTCAGCAACATAAGTCCATGCCACGTGAGCAATGTGGTAATTAGTTAATATTAAGCTTCTATCGACATAAGCGATGTAAACAAGCGTAATTAGAAATAAGAGAAATTGGTAGAAAAAGCGGCAAGAATTCAATAAAAGCAAAAATCAAATCAGATGAAAATGCAAATGAAAATATTAATTGAAATCAAACATGTTGATATACACACGTAAATCGAAACAAACAAAAAAAGTGGAGGAAGGACAACAAATGCAATTTGAGCCGCCGTTGGTAGAAATGTGTAATGAAAATAAATAACCCTGAGCTGGGGGAAAATTGAAAATGAGATTTAACAGAAATCAAAAACATTAAAAATAAAGAAAGAAAGCAGATAATGTTGGGTTTTTTATTCCTCTGGCAATTAAATGGAATCTAGGGTGAATAAATAACACATAAAAAAGGGAAAATAAAGTGGTGGTAATGTATTTCAGTAAACGGTTCTTTCAAGAGGGTTTAAAATGAATCTAGTGGATGATGTACCCATTATAATTGCATCGCCCCAGGGATGCTCATGCTCCAAATCCCATTCAAATCAATCGCTAAAATATGCTTTTGTTCATATTTAATCATTTAACTCGGCACTTTGTAATCTCCTCTTGGAACCCTCGGCCATTTGCTAACGAATCAAAGCAGGATCTAACCCCTGAAGTGCGCCAAGCCATTAACTTTTATCTCTGTGCGCGATTCACGCTTCTGTCTTGTTTCGTTTACCCAGCCAAGGACGAGTGGACACTTCAGCTGCTCACCTGAACCAGCCCAGCCCAGCCCAGCACCTGCATCTGCACCCCCTGCTAGGGCCCGGCGGCATAAATCGCGCCCTCAGTTCCAACTTTCAACAAAGATGTAAGCCAAGTTAATTGCTTTTTGTTGCCTTTTTTCCAGCTCGCTTTTGCCGTGTTGCCAGTTTCTGTTGTCGTTACCTCTGCAATGTCAACAATAAAACTAACGTCAGCTACCAGCTACCGTTCTCCTAAACACTCTCCGGGCATATCCTTCACCTGCAGGACCCCAGGACCTGCTACTGCCGCTGCTGTTGTTTTTGCTGCTCCGGTGCTTATTTGAACAGCTCTTCACAAACGAGAAGTTGGCAACATGGGAGCATTTACGAGGCGCATTTCGCGCTACCATTTTGTTGTCCTGGCAGACAAACGGCTCAGCCCTTGGCGGCTCTCTTCAGGACCTGGCCTAAACCTTGGGCACAGAAGGGACAAGAGCCTGATGCTAAAGTCAAGGAGAGCGTAGACAAATCAGGAAATGGAAATGGTAATTTCTAGAGTCAAGATAGAATATATTTTCATTAAAATTCACAGAGACTGCAAAGTGCTGCAGATACACCCACTATCATTTATTTTATTTATAATTTTTTTTGATTAATTTCTTAATATTCTACTGATTATATAATGTATAAATACTTCCCCAAAGTAAGCCATCTAAAAATACATTTTATCTGACTGTGAAAATCTTTTCTCTTGAAGAATTTATGACCGAGAATCCAAAGGCCAGAGGCACTATTATTAATGATAAATAACAGAGCATTTGAAGGGACAAAGCGAAATTGGAAGATTTTCGCTTGGGTCCTCAATCAATTTACAATTCATGGTGTAAGCCCAGAAAAAGCCGACGCTAGAAATCGAAATCAGTCGACTGTGAATATTGCAAAATGAGCTTCCGCCTTTCGCCTTGGCTCCCAACTTCCGGCAACAATTTCCGTTTCCTCATTACCTTATTTTTTCATCGCCAAAGTCAGGACTTTGTGAAGGAACAAGAGGGGGAGGCCTGAGACCCTGAACGGGGGCGTGTTCCTGCCTCCTGCCATATGACAATTTATTACGCTCAGAGCTTCGATTTAAATTGCTTGACAATTATTACACAATGACGAAGGCAACGTCGGCGTCGGCGAGGACGACAAATGAAAAATGTTCCCGTTCGACAATTTACCAGGCGGCACAGGCAAACTCCAACCCTCGAATTCTCTTCATTTGCCCCCGTCCTAGAATTAATGATGGCAAATTTGCAAAGTTCACAAATTTCTTATTAGTAGTCCATGGCTGAGGAAGCTGGGGGCTTCTCCTGGCAGCACCCTCATCACCGTTCTGCGCCTTGGGTTCATATTTCATTTTAGGCAGTTAGTTTTCCAGGCGGCAGAAAATGCGGAGAAGAGGTAGTGGTGGTGGTGAATGGTGTACCTCCCTGCGGTTTTAAGTTTTCGCACTTTTGCCACCAGGCAGAGCGGAATTTCCCAAGCGCTCTAATTTGAATTTTAATTGAGGTTCTCTTTGTGGTTTTCCTCGCATTATTTTTTTCCCTGTTTGTTTGGTTGGTTTGCTTGCTTTGAAAATTAACAATAATTATAAATAATTAATATGCTGAGCAGGTTCTCCCTGGGGTTTGGTTTCCGGAGACGGAAATACGTGACTGAGATTACTTTGGAAAAGGAAAAAGAATGCGCCATCATGATTATGATTTATTTAAATATAAAAATAAAATGTATTAAGGTTGCCCAAAATTTGCCTTTATGACTTGCTAAGTGCTCTTTAGTTTGGCGGCTTTTATCCCTCAATTGAAGCCTCTTTGTGCATGTTTGACAACGGCAATAAATGAAAAATAAATGTTTTCGCGATACAAAATCAAATCAGAGTTAAAATCTTTTATATATTTTTATGCATTTCGAAGAGAAAAACGAAAAGAGTGGCCATGTAAATCATCGACAGCGGCAAATAAATAAAAAATCAAATGAATATGCAAATGTAAAACAAATAAAAAATCGTTTTCTCTGTCAAGGCAGAAGGCCTCCGGATTGCATCATATACATATAGAGGGTCTGATTTATCAGGCAACTGCCGGGTGCGCATGGAGAATTGCTGTAAATATAAATTTAATTGCATAAAACAAAATATACAAAAGATCCTTGCGCCATTGAATCCATAACATGTTCACCGCAGGACAGATGCAATTATTCCAAATTGAAATGCAAGCTCTCCTTTGCATACTTTTTCATTACGCCTTGGATAATGTGATTGGTAAATCAACTTCAAAAACATAGCATGTATTAATATATTAAAGATTAAACACAATAACATGTTACGTGATGAAATGTAGGGACACGAAGTTGAAGCTTTTAATTATTCAACAAAGAGAAATTTAATTATTAAATGAGTGTTTAACCTTTTAATAAACTACTTTATTGTCTAGCAAAGACAAGATATTTAACTCACTCATACCATCAATTTGTGTGAGTAAAGAATTAATTAAAAACGCCATCCCATCCTCATTAAATAGTGAAATGCATTTTCCCAAAGACCAAATGCCAGACAACAGACATAAACCGTCTCTCACCTGTCTCGTTTCCCGCCCTCAGTCTTGCATTTCACCTGACCAGAACAGAAAACAGTCTGTGCCTTAAATGATGAAGACGACGTTGATGATGACATTATCTCATGCTCATTGAACGCAAATGTGGCGTGCTTGTTGCACATCATAAAGGAGCCAACAAAAACTGTCCACGAAGAGTGAAGAGAAAAAATTTCGAAAATGTAAAGATACAAATACTCTATTTTTTAGTATATTTTATCTAAATTTAAAAATTGTAATATACAGGGAAGAGGTTCTTGTTTCACTCAGAAATACAGAAAAGGGTATTTTATTGAGTCGGCATGGAAAAAATGAATGTACATGTGCAAATATTTGACGAGTGAACGGCTCATTCATTCGTCTCTCCCGTCACCAACTTACCCGATGCTGTCACTCATTGTACTGTGAATTGTTTTGAAAGGCTTTTGTATTTTGAAATGCAATGCAAGTGGAGCTCCAGTTGTGGTTTCTTTTCTGGGAGAACATAACGATAAAATGCTCTTGCTCAAAACAGGTGAGCTATTTGTGTGTGTGTGTGTGTGGGCATGTTAATTTCAGAGATGAAATCTTGTTTCTCTTGCTATTTGATGTGTTAGTTCAGTGACCTTCAGTAGGGGGGGGGCTGGCAGAGCTTGGCTTCCTTCTTTTCGGACATCGAATTAAGTTGAAGCGCTTAAGGCGCATTTAAATTAACTTTAATGGGGGAGGGGAGCATCCAGGAGCTTCAATCCCCAGGAGCAGCGGCCCCTCGAAAAGCCACATTTACGCCAAGTACTTAACAACTTTAATGAGCGGGGGATAGAGCGAGTGAGCGAGAAAGGAGCGTAGAAAAAAACCTGGTACATCGGGGGAGGATCCCAAGTAGCCAACGCGCACTTAATACTAATGGCTGTCATTATCCTTTATCCTTTTTGGCTGTCGCAACAACTGTCTGCCCGGCACAGAGCCTCTCACTCGCTCACTCACTCAACCAGGAGCGGTGTCCCACTTACTCCCATCTGGCCTTTTGTTGGCACGCACATTTATTAGGCAAACCAAAGCTCAAACTTCCCGCTGCCAAAAAAAAAAAAAAAAAATAACAGAAACTTGGTAAAAACAAAGAAAAAAATTAACTTAACTCAATTTACAAAAAACTTTTATTTCTATTTTTTCCCTCCGTTCTGGCTTTGTTTGCTGTTGACAAAACAGTAAAAAAAAAAAGGAAGAAAACGAATTAAGCGCCAAGCCAAGGCAAACTTTAAGTAGCTTTTGTGCGAGAAAGTATTAAAATCGCTTTTTCTAGCGGGGGAGTGGGAATCTGTGCACAAAAGTAAGTGGCCAAAGGGATTCCACAGCGAGTCAAGTGTCCTTGAATCATATTTACTTAACTCGACGCTGCCTTTGCCATGTTATCATCCCAACCCGCCGCCACCAACTCCCTGGCAGCACTCTTTCAAGGTTTTCTTCTTGATTTTATTCTCATTTGCAAGGAATTTTCCCTCTTGTTCGGCCAGCAATGAATTTCCATAACTCTCGGGCGCAAGTAAACCAATTTCGTTTTTTGAAACGCTTAATATGTGATGAGATCCATTTCAACAATGTCCTGAAAGTTTTGCGGTTACGGGTCAAGTTGAGATTCAGTTTTAATGTCTGCAGATTGCCCGAGTCGAACTTTAGGAAGAGTTTTTATCAAGAGCTGATTGAAAAGTTTTGCCCAGGAAACCTCTTAATATTTTTTAAGCATTTTCTAACCGAATTTAATATGTGTTCATACTATTTAAATGATTTATTTGCTCACAAATTAAACACACATTTTTCTACTAATTTTCTATAAAATTCTTGCACTAAAATGTAATTTGTTAAACAGAAACACTTATTTATTGCCCAGGACACCGCAAAAACAATGCGAAATAACCGAATGAATGAACTGTATCCATTAAACATTCGGTGACCAAAACTAGAATGGTCATTCAGCTGACCGCA